TTTAAATTTTTTTTGCTTAATAATTAGAGGTTAAACATTGCCCAAATTATATGTGAAAATTTTGTACAATAAACTCTGCAATCTTAATGGTACTGATATGCAATTTACCGAAATATTTTCCTGCTAGACTTATTTTGTAAGACCTAAAATTCTTTTTTTGATCTATATTGTTTTTGAATTAAGATATATGATATTGATGTTATTATGATTCTCTTATTATTTTAGAAAAGATTTATTATAAATCTGTTATTATTATGATTTTATTAGTAGAAGTTTGAAATGGACTACTATATTGTGATTTTTTTCGTATTAAGTTTTTCACATTAAATTTTAATTTCACTTTATGATTGATTTATTGTCCTACTGTTTATGTTGTTTTGGTTGATATGTGCTTTTGATATCAAGTTGATATTTTGGTTACGAACCTATTTTTGATATAGAAACAAGAAAAAAACTGTTCCGCTATAATATATTTTTTTTGGACGAAACCAAATCAACATCAAGTTGCTAATAAAAAAAAGGATAGGATCACGAAAAACACGATCGGACAAATACTGAAAACAAGACATTCGGTGTAAGTTTCAGTGCAAAAATTCAGGTGACTGCGCAAATTTAATGTGGAAAGCTATTTTCGATAGACTCCGTTGACGATTTTGTTCTGACAGCAGTGGGACGCTTTCCTTTTCGATTTGATGTTCCACGAACAAATGTGAATTAAGGACATCTCCAATTATTAGTCTCGAATTCCCTACGATTTGGTCAACGTTTTGTAGTGATATTTAATTCTAAGCTAACAAAAGATTGTAACTTCAGGTTAACGTCGTCATTCATTCCGTCAATGTTGTTCTCTTCCTGATTCACCATCTCCTCTATTGGGAATGCGTGCATGACCTCATCACTTCAATTATTTTGGTGGTCTACACAGGACTCAGCTACAGGTGGAAAGGGGTCCATTTGGAATAGCAGGCATAATAATTGAGAGACACGTACGGCCCATGCGATCCATCAAGATATTGACAGCCAAATTATCTTATTAATCTAAATCATGACAGATCTCACCCACCACCGCATTAACAGTTTATATTTTTCTATAGAAAAAGAGAGCATTGGAAACAACACATACATATATAAAGGATCAATTTACACTGTATTTTTACGCTAAGATTGTAAAATATGTTTAGAAAGTCTACGATATTATTTTATTAACGAGGATGAAAAATCGATTCAGATAATACATATTAGTCCGATAGAAAATCGATAATACATCAATATGCTCTGTGTCTCGATATATCATCATTCTAATAATTATATAAAATTTTATTTTAATTATGTATTTTGAATGAAATATAATTTTATGTTATTTCGTTATCATATCATTCCATAATTAATGAGAGCCAGATGATCTATAATAATATCAACCAACCAATGTCTCGATTCATTCATTAATCATCCAAATTATTTGAAGGGTTTTTTGTGGAATACGCCTCTATCTCTAAAGAACATTTTGACTGGATCTGAATCATTTTTGTGGGTTCTAATCTGAATTAATGATGTTATTATATCCGATTATAAAAAGACAGTATTTTTTGTTTTCATTAGATAAAAATCCCTTACTTTAATGGATGTGATGGGTGCAGCAGCGAAGCATGTGATCGACGCAAAGTGGCTGCCAGATTCCGATGGACCAGCTCACGGGAGTGCGTTGTCTCGACTCAGACCATGACTTGAGATACGAGGACAAATGGATGTATCGTACGCTCGTGCATGACACTTACGAACACTCCAATCCCTATTCGTTGGGAACATGACATGAGCTCCCGAGATATCACCCGTCCATCTCATGCTGAAGGATACGTGTTTTACTCTGATTCGATGTGAGATCATGTCCGCTTTATTCGTATTACAATATAAATCCAACCAAAGTGCGTGGCTTTGGATATTTGGATATAGAATATATTGGAACGATACAAATAAAGACCAATCAGCAAGCGACAAATATACAAACAAAAAAAACCAAGCACATTAATTTATTGGAACTTATTTCGGTGAAGCAGTGATAGGGTAAGAGAGACGGAGGAGGAACTTAGGACTGCACGGTGGGTTTCGAGAGGGAGGTGACGTTGACCTGTTTTCCGAGCAGCACCGATCCGACGTCGGCTGTGAAGGTGTCGTACCGCAGGAAGAACTCCACCAGGAGCAGCCGGCCCACGAGCACCACCAGGTACTTCCCGGCGCACTGCTTGTTGCCCACCGTCGGCTCCTCCGTCTCCGGCCCGTTGGACCACACCACGTACTCGAGCAGCTTGCGCCCGGCGTTCCCCACGAAGCGGTCCGCGACGAACTCGCCGGCGTTAGGGCCGAACACCTTGGGGTCCTTCGTGGCGCAGGGCTGGTAGCCGAGGAGCATCTCCCCCTTCTTCACCTGGTACGCCGCGTCGTGGCTCTCGATGATCAGGTCCGCCTTGGCCTTGCCGTACTGGTACTTCACCGGCGGGTCCAGGCGCAGCGCCTCGTACACCACCGAGCGCGTCAGCTCCATCCGCTCCACTGCCGCTAGCGTCACCTCTCCGCCCTCCGCTGCCACGGCGGATCGGATCTCCTCGGCGAGCTGGGAGTGGAGGCTAGGGCCGGCTTCCGCCACCAAACCGAAGATCCCCGGGAGCGCCGCCTTGAAGCCGCCGAAGGCGTTGAAGATGGCGACGAAGAGGATGTGGTGGCAGGCCTCCTTGCGATTGAGGCCGAGCTTCTCGGCGTCGTCGAGCGTGGACGATGCGGCGGACTCGAAGTACCGATAGAGGGCCTTGTAGTCGGAGGAGAAGAGACAGGAGGGCAGCGGGAAGGTGTGGAGGAAGAGCTCCTCCAGCAGTGTGGGGAGGCCCAGCGTCATAAGCGGGGCGATCTGCGGAAAGAGCCACTTGGTGGCCTTGGTGGGTCCCGTGGCGCCAAGGGCGGTGGCGGAGGGCCGGACGCCGAAGCAGGCCTCGCCGAAGTAGTCGAACACGGCCGCGTCGCTAAGCTTGTTGAAATCGGACTTGCCGGAGGCGGAGGCCACCTGGGCGTCCATCGCCTCGAAGAGGACAGCGAAGTTGGAACGGAAGACCGGGATGAAGAAGTTCTTGCGGGCGGCGACGAGGTTGAAGACCAGCTGCTTCACCCGGGCGTGGTCGGGCTCGGAGGGGTCGAGGTAGGCGCACATCCGGTGTCCGCCGGTGAGGGAGACCGGGGGCACGAAGGTGCCGGTGAGCACGTTCTTCTTTTCCACCTTGGACACGTCCAACAGCACCCGGAAGCTCTTGGCGTCCAGGAGCGCAACGACCCTCGAGTTTGCGGCCATGAACGGCCCCGGCGGCATGTTGATGCGGAAGACGGTGGAGCCATGGGCTGCGATGCGGGACCGGAAGAACTCCTCCTCCCGCTGTTTGTAGTAGAATTCGAGGCGGGTCTTTATGCGGGAGACGAGGGAGTGGTTGCGGCTCCCAGGGATCTCCTTGATGGGCAAACTGCAGATGATGGATGGCGCAGCCTTGTCGTCGTCCACCTTCTTCTCCACCATGCCGGTCGCCATTGTGGTAAGCTCAGTAGAAGGCACTGAGATGGTGGCAAGTATGAGGCTATATAGAGCGAGACTGATGGATTCGTCGGCCTCTCGATCAACTCGGTCGCCAACCCGCACGAATCGCAACAGAAATAGTCCTTACGTGCACTTCCTGATTCGAACGAAATCACAACCCGTGACTTAAGTCGGGGCACGAAGTCATTCTCCACGACGGGGAGATGTTTTCTGGATCAAAAGGGTTAATCCTTCAATTCTTCCGGGTGAGATGTCCCCTTCAAGAATAGAACACGCGAAACGCGTGTAGCTTTATTTTATGTGCGGATGAACAGGTTGATCAATTAATGCTTTCTTTCTATACGAATTGCTTTCGGCTTACATTAGAGGATAATACATTAATAACCAAAGTTACCTGTTCGGATGAATAGCTCCACGAGCGAGGTCGTGACATACGCCGTCAGTATCCGCGACAGCAGTCCCGACAGCGGGTCGGGGCACCGATCTTGGGTCTTCGTCGCACGACAGCCAATAGGGACCCACGTATGAGGCTGTCGACGTGTACCTTTTCATTTCCGGAAGGCTACAGCTGCCGGAGCTCATTGTTATATTCACGTGAATCGCGAGGTAGAATTATTATAGCCTTACGTGAAAACGAATCATTGGGTGCTACGGCCGAAACGGGTCGGGTCGCATCCGATCAAGTCCGTACCCGAGCAGAATTTGATCATCATCGTCGTCATCAGATATTTTCTGCAACCTACTGAAAGAATTTGATCATATGAAATGAATGAGCATCTGACGAAGTGGCTGTAAAAGGACACAATCCTCGTCGAAGTCAATTTCATCTCTGATGGCCAAAGACATAATCTTATATTTGTAGACAAATTAGCTCGATTAGAAGAATTATTGGTTCGAAAAGATGAGATCTATTGGTGGGACGAGTGTCGGCAGTCAAGATGTTGACTTCAGCGGCAGTCCCGGGTCGGATGCTGACGGTGATGTGGGTGGCGGCCATCGGCGGATCTAAATCCGATCTTCTCGAGGGATCAGACGGGTCGGATCTCGACTTGGTGGAGCTCCGAAGAAGCCTCGCGATGATCCCGCAGATCTTTCACTCGCCCGTCACCGAAGCCGTCACGTCGTTCTGGCCCAAGACAAGGGCGGGCCCCACCTCGGCCACCTCGGGAATGCTCCATAATGGACGTGAATGATTGCTGTTGCAACATTTTTATCGCTATTGAATTTTAGAGGGGCCTCCGTTGAAGTCGGACCAAATTAGATATCATGCGGCACAAATGGGCCCACTAATGGTCCGAACCGGTTAGTTCGGAACGTATCGGAAGAGTCAATGCGGTCCAGATCAATTCGACCCGACCCGACTCGACCCGTTTAATGGACAACGAACCAAAGAGCCCAATTCGTCGGAGTCTCCGCCTCCCCGCCTCTTCTACACATCAACCCTCGATAAGGAGGCAGCGGCGATTGCAATCTTCTCCTCCACCACCTGCAGGCTATTCCCGGACAGAAGGTGGTAGCGGCGCTTGTGCTGCGCCGCGAGCGACCTCGTCCACCACCGCCTACACGCCACTCTGAACGGCCATCGCCTCAGATTTGATTTCGTCGAATCTTTTGATGTAGGTCGATGAGAACGCCGCAACTGTTCGACCGCGGCCGACGTGACTCCAATCACAGAATCAACGGCACGTTTAACGTTGATGATGACGAGCTCGGCACACACGGAACAGATTGAGCGGAGAAGGGCATTCGGAAGAGGGCTCTGAAGAATCACGGTCCCCAGCGCAACAAGGTAAGCCTTTTATACTGCAAAAGGTGGAATTCTGAGAAGCATATTTGGCAATGCTCATCTTCCGATTCAGATGTCATTGCAGTCCCTTTCTTCTATATGGACAAACCCAATTTGGTTCTACAGCTTTTTCCTTGTTTAGAGCCGAGTTTTCTGTTCCAACATATCAATTCAGAGAAATCGGGGTACCTTCAACCATCTCCATCTTTAAAGAATCCAAAGCAGAGCCGTCCAAGAGAGTTTTGTGGTGCCACAGATTCACATTGCATTGTCTAGTGCATGTTTTTGGTTGTCAAGCTCATGGATTCAAAAGCAAGTGGATTCTTAAAACTACTCGGGAAGGCAGAAAAGGCAACTCAAGGCAGACGATAAATCAATATCTACGAATGAATTGGTACGGAGTGTAGCGGCTGTTCTCAAGAAGACAGATAAGTGGGATGTGTTGCTTAACGAGCTCTGTGCTGCTTCTGCCTCTGGAATCACCCCCTCAGTTGCTGTTCAAGTCCTCAAGGGCATCAAGAAACCTGACATAGCCTTCAAGTGTTTTGAATGGTTAGACAACCTTCAAGGTTTCGAGCATGACAGTCTGACCTGACCTACTCGGCTACTCTTGTGGTTTTGACGACAGACTGTATCCCTTTTGCATGCTTCAATAGCCGACTCTTTGCTTCGGAAAATGATACATCTCCGTTTTGATGTCACGCCGGTAGATTATGATTATGTTCTGCACCAGTGGGCTCGTGTAGGGAGATCCGATAAAGGTCTGTCTTTGTTGAATGAGTTGATTGATCGCGGATTTAATCCTTCAGTAACCTCTTGTAGTATCCTTCTGGAGAAGTTGGTTCGCTCAAGAGAAGAGGAATCCGGTAGGCTGTTGTTCCATCAAATACTTGATAGAAGAGTTGATGCTTTGGATACTGAAACCTTCAATGTTATGATGAAAACAAGGGAGGTCTTTTGTCTAGGATGAAAGAGGAAGACTGTGTACCTGATTTGGACACTTTTAATATCTTGATCAAAGGTTGCTGCGAGAAAGGAGACATGAAAATGGTCTGCTATCTGTTCAATCATATGCTTGATATCAAGGTAAAGCCAGAGAGCTATACTATAAATCTCTTGATCAAAGAGTTGTGCAAGCAAGGGAGGCCTGCTTGCGCAAATTCTCTGTTCGATCACATGAGGGTGGGTTGGTCGGATAGGAAGTTCATGTATAGCTCAACTTGTGGAGTCTCTTTGTGAATTATGGTTGGTGGTTAAAAGCTTTGAAGATCTTCATACAAATGGTTCCAAGAGGGCATCATCCAAATATCAGTCATTACGATAATCTGATGCATGGAAGCATTTAAATTAAAGGATTTCATGTTAAAAAAGGCGTTTTTGCCTGAGATAAAGATATACAATGGATTGATAGATGGATTGTGTCTGATTGGCAGAATGGAAATGGTTGACAAGCTATACTTGGAGCTTCATGACAAGCAAATACAACTTAATCAGGAAACTTGTAATATGATTCTCCGCAGGCATTGTTTGTCGAGGAATGCAACAACAGCATTAGATTGGACACAAAAGATAAAAGAAGAGGGTTGGGAACCTGATCTTGAGGCATGTAATTCTTTATTCACCCATCTTTCAGCGGAAGGTAAAGTTGATGAGACATTGGAACTCAAGTATCATATCTCAACAAAGGACTGATACCAACTTCTTTGAACACCATGAATCTTGAGTCCCAGGGATATGGATAGGCAATATATTTTGAATGGCATTTCATGGAAATCTAACCATATACATTTGTTATACTGATAGGTAAAAAGATAATTTCAACTATTGATTTAAAATATTTAATATGAAGTTAAACAGTAATACTGCATGAGACTTAAAAGTTAAAGTTAACAATAATAAATCAATCAAGCTATATAAATCAATCTTAATCATGCATACGAGGAAGTGAAGCGAGATGGCACAATTTGAACTACCAAAAACGTGCACATTATAGGATCTCATAAAGGGTAACAATGAGGCAGTAGTCAATCAAACAATTGTAATAAATTATATCGTGTGCCGCAGAATTCTAGCAGTCAATATTTATCATGTAACAAGTATAATAATAGATCACCTCCATCAAAATGGGATCCACGCAAAAAAAAAATAAAGTAGATGCACGACAGTTAAATGTCTCCAGATACTAAATTACCACAATTTTATATGCAGGTAAAGTCTTTCCATGCCTAAGCTATGAATACAAATAATTAACATAAAAGAAAATTAATATTTCTTACCAACATTATCATATTAAACCAGGAAAGAATGCCATCGGAAAATGTGATAATGTTGCTCGGATTCTCTTAAGAATTTACATGCTGAGATGATGACTTGGGCCGTGTATGAAAAGTTGGAAGCTCTCCTTGGGTTTTCGTAAAAAATCTCTGATGCCTCATTCGAGCAGCCCTGTCCAAAAGCAGCAGCAAGCCAGCATTATTCGCTGATAGCCCAAAACTATACCTGATAATATTCAAACAACAGTTAGCATCTTTCATTCTTCAGTATCCTTGACATCATCAGAATCCAGAAATTTAAGCAAAAACATGAACACTTGCCTGATTCGAGATGATCTCTTTCTCCGAAACACAAATGATACTGCAGCCTGCACGACGGCACAAAATCAGGAAGGGCAGCAAATAAGCAAAGAGTTGCAATAGAATCATAGCGATACAACTGACCAAGCAAATGCTAGTTGCTCTATCATATATCAAACTTCTTAGCCTTTTTCAAGCCAAGTGTACTGCAAACTATTCATTTTAGATATCCATTTGATGTCCCAGGGTAGTAGTCTTCCACATATCTAACTGAAATATGTTTTTTCAGACTCTTCAACAAATGTTAAAGATAATTTCAGTAGAAGCAAAATGACACATAGAACATGTTGAACTCATGGTTTGCAATACCATGGGCAACTATTGTTGCAGAGTATAACCTAATCAGACAATGTGCCCTTGTACCCCGTAATTACTACAAAAACCTATCATGAATACCAGAGTTTACGATCCTGATGATCTGAGGGTGTCAAACTTGGCTGACCAAATTAAAGCATCAGTAGCTTCAATTTTACAGTAAAGTAAACAAATCTAACCGTAGTGCAATTTAAATCCAAGAAAGGAATTGAAAAAACATATATACTACTAATGTTTCCAGTGTTTCCATTTTCGCATCATTTTATCTCCTATGTCACATTTCCATTTATCTCTTCTGAAGTCTCTACACGCTAATCAAATGCCCTGTATTAAGCAAGGCTCGTGCTGTTGCTTTAAACTTGACATCCCAAAACTATAGTATTTCGAATATCTAATAATGGCATAAACATGCTTTTCATAAAACAAAGGCATAATCATATTTTTCTGATAAAACAATGGAAGATTTCATAGTTGCACTTTAGATCAATCGCAATAAGCACTAAAAGTTAATGTGGTTTACCTTAATGATTAACATGAGCGAGAACCTTTTGAGAAAAGGCTGTTTCTTGACAATCTTCTCAGAAGATGCATCCTCGCGGAGATGCTGAGCAATGTCGTTCAGCATGACCACTTGAGTCTTATCAGTAGCAATAGAGATTAAGGTCTTTCTCATGGACTCCCTATCTGCCTCGAGAGCCTCAAGCCTCAAGCGAAGCTTTCTTATCTCTGCTTCCTCATCACTACCATTCGTATCCTTCTCGTTATGAACCACCCTTGCCAGGCTGACATAGTCTTCAGCCGCCTTGTGCATTGTGTCTATTGTATATACCCTGTCGCTCATGTCATCCTGTACACCACAATCAGAAGAAAGGTCCATGGTAATTGGGAACTCCTCCCCCTTATTGAACTCCAGGCTTGAACCACAGCTGTCAACAGAGAGTCTCTTAATATGAATCGGCCGGTGAGGCGAATGCCCCATGGCAACCATTTTGTCTACCACGTTACTCATTTGGCCACAGCTTGGCATCCGTTCGAGCTGGGAGATGCGTGCTTCGAGCTTATTGAGGTGCTCACGGGGGGTCTCCCCGAAAGGGTACTTGTAGATGTCGATAGTAGCATCGTCGGCGGACAAGGTGGACCTTAATGGAGGGTAGTCGCCGCATGAGAAGTCGAATTGGGCGTCGGCAGTGGTGGCCTCATCTGGAGACTCTGGCTCGGATGCAGGGGCATCGGAAACACCAATGCCGGAGCTGAAGAGGCGGTGGCGGTAGGTTTCAACCTCGTAGGAGAGGGAGAGAATGGTCTCGTCATACTTCAGGAGGAGGTCCTCGAGGGCGGCGATCTCCTGCCGGTCGTGCGCCATCTTCTCCTCGGCGAAGCCCTTGAACTGGCGCGCCTCCATCTGGACCTCGGCCTTCTCGCGCTGGAGCCGGAGGATCATCGACATGGCCTCCGACGCAGCTGACGCCGCCGCGCTCCTCTCCTCCTCCAGCTCCGTACGCAGCTCCTGGATCGACTGCAGGTGGCCGCAGACGGCCGCCGCCTCGTCCGCGATCTCCACCCTGACAACGCCGTCATCCACGGCAGCAGGCGAGATGGAGGGCGTTGCCGCCTCCATCTCGTCCATCCTCCGCTTCAGTGAGGGGACCCAAGCGTCGGAGTCGAGGGAGGCACGACCGCAGCAACGGCAGTCACAAGCGCAAGTTCCGGCTGCGGCCGCGGAAGGTTCGCCAGGGGGTGGCGGGTGGCTCTGGGGGTCCATGGAGACCGAGATAGCCTCCAGAGGAAAACACGATCACCGCCCGCGGCAATGCCGATCACGACGCTGCCCGGTGTCCCTCAGGGGAGCACCCTCCGCCGCTGGCCGAAGAGGATGGCAACCGCCGACGGAGAGAAGACGAGAGCAAGCACTACTCCGAGCGAAAAGGTTGGAGTATGGGGTATCGAATTGGGAGCGGGGCGGAGTGGAGGGAGCAGACTTCAAAATCTTTCAAAACCCTAGAAAATAGATGATGGGAGATACACAAAAGCATTCGTAGAAGAGAAGTTTACTTTTTCCTGTTCCTTCCGGGTCAGGGGACACCAACACTCACACACACCAACAGAGCAAACGACTCAGGGCGGGACTCCACCTATCGTTCTGAGAGGAAAAACCGTGCCTCCTGTCTCATCTGGTGCAAACAATCCGCGACGGTCGACACAGGCAGACGTGGGGTAGCAGAGGCGCGCCTGCCGCGGAGGAATCCGGGAAACACGTACAAATAAACAGATAGAATATTTATTTATTATTAGCAAAAATAAAACCAAATTGAGTTGTAAGTATATAAGACTATTAAGATTTGATGGGATTGCAAAGTAACATGTATTTCCAGATATTGTCAACTTGAGTCTATCCATATATATATATATATATATATATATATATTCAAATGCACCTTATAAAATCAAATGTATTTATTATAGTAATAGTTTAGGAAGATATTATTTGATTTGATTCTTAATACTATGGTGAATACCTTAGAAAAGTGATTTATTTTAGGTTTTATTTTAGGTTTTTTCAGTTAACATCCAATTTACTTTTCGGTGTTGATTTTTATTTTTTTTCTTTGAAAAGGACGAAAATACTCTAAAAAAGTTGAGAGTATTTTTCTTCCAAATCGAATTAAATGAATATCATACATCCAAATACTTAATTATATATTTTAATTCAATAAAAAAATAAAATGAATGAAATATTATAATTATGTAACATAAAATATACATCTTAACTTCAATTTAATGTTTCATTAAATTTATGTTCTTTCTATATGATTATTTTATTTTTTTTATTAATTCAAATATATAAGTTACGAATTTATTTTATTGCATATATAACATTAATTTAAACCAATTTGAATTAGAGGAAAAAGAGGAGGGAGAGTGGAACTCAATGTAAGAAAAAATAAATAGAGAATAAAATTTTGAAGGAATTCAGCCTTCTTAATATGCAATATAAATTCTATATTATGTTCAATTAAAAGCATTTAGTTATTTCTTAAAATAATCACTTAAATGTACTTTGGCTGTGTACCGTAAATGGAACATGCAAAACATCCAACTGTTGCTTGCACAGAAACAAGAGATGTCAAAACATCCAAGAGTCAATTATCATGGTTGATGATTGTTCATTAAAGATTAAACACCATACAATTGTTCATTAAAGAAAGTCACAGTATGTACAAGACAAAAGAAACACAAGAAAGGTGGATTAGAAAGCCAACATTGTGGCAAAAAGATGAATGAGCTGCCTAATCTCCTTTTGGTGAACTTTGTATCAATCAGACAATGCAACAATGCTAGCAAGTGGTGATGACTTCCTCCAGAAACATCTGGGCATGGCTTAGCTTCCGGTTCTAGCTTCTTAGAAACATACCCCGAGCAAACTTCATTTTCAGTGACCAGCAACTGATTTAACTTCTCTGTTGCCATCACTTTCAGCTCTCATCTCCTCCGAGTTTCTTGATTCCTGTTGCATTGCTTCATCACATATCCGAATCTCTCCTACTTTTAAATCCGATCGCAAGACACACTCCGGCAGTTCGAGTAACAGCTTTTCTAGTTAGCTCAGACCTCCCATCCTCTCTCGTCTCAGTGACTCTGATCTTCTCTTCCACCACCTGTTGCAACACAACTTCTGCCTCCTGCAGCGAGAGCAATTCACTATGTGAAACGGTTTCAAAGCTCTTGATCCTAGTATCAATTGTTTCAGCTTTCCTCACTAAGCTTACACTTTCATTTTGTACCACAGCCAGGTGCTGTGTCTTTAACTTTTTCATCTCAGCTGAGAACTTAATTCGCTCCTCCTCGGACTTCAGCAGTTCGGATGCTTCGTCTAAGTTATTGATCGCCAACAGCACTCTTTCCGTTTCCTTCCTTTGAGTTTCTGCATCGTGGAGCTTGGACTTCGAACAATCTTCTTTAACAATGCAGTGCTAATCTCATCCTGAAGACATCTAAGTTCTTCTTTCGTTTGCTCCCAATAATGTGCCTTGGTAGAAAAAATCCTGAGAGCTAATTTCAGAGCCAAAAACTTTTTGTCCTAGACAGTCTTTCTTTCCTGTATCTGGGACAGAATAAGCGTAATTTTCTGATGCTTTTAACTGAATATCATGATCCACTTCTTTCATATTTTCAGAAAACTCAATCACCACAGTTACTCTTTTTTTTTTTATAGTATTTCAAAGTATTTGATTGTTTTACTGTTATGAATAAATATATATAAAGGATGTTTGATGTAATGTTTATGTATGTCTATATTTTTTGATTTTATTTATACTTTGCACATGTAAAGAGGGTTTACAATAGACTTGATAGTCTCATTTTAATTGACTTTTGTAGCTGTTTTAGCCCTGTAAATGCAGGTTGTGTGCAGCTATCAGACATAAGCAAAACTACCCAGAAACAAATCATCAAAATAATTATTTTAGGATTTTTTAGCTCCGCAGAGTGGTGTAAAGTATTAGCTAGCACAACACCTTAGAGCTATCCAGGTGGCACATTATTGGTTGGACATTTAGAGTAGTGTCTAGAGCTGGCTCGTTACCTTATTCAGCAGTAGTGTCATGTGAGCACTTATCCTGAAATTTGCATTGTTGTAATTTGTCGTGCGATCGTTCAGATCTTGTGAAGTTTATGATTGTAATTTGCATTGTCTATCAAGTGTTTGTTGAAATGTCTACCTTATTCTTTTTTTTTTTTGAGACTAACCCTTTACAGACAAACACATAAGGGTGTCATACAACTTAAGCAAAACCAACTAACTCCATTATAGATGGTATTATAATAAGACAAGCATACTTAGAAATACTTAACATACAAACATAGGGGACCTAACGGGGCTACATTGAGGGCAGCCAGTACGCGTAACTATTTGAGGCAAACAAGCATAGAGACATAGGGAAAGGAGTTGGTCAAAGAAACAGACATCCAGTATTGGTATTCAGAAAACACAACGCCAAATGTTGGGATTACTGAGTTCGAGCCATAGCTCAACGTTGGCAACCAAACTTAATAGTACTCAAGGCAAGCAGAGCGCTTGGTAAAGGATGAGATCGTGCAAGGAGGGATAGGTTGCTCGACAACTAAAAAAATTGTGCAAAACTCACAAAGATGAGGGGAATTGCGAACTTAAAGAATTTAATAATTATGCAAGGGCTTGTATGTAGACGATAGACTGTCCGTAGACATCCCAAACTGACCGCAACTCGGTGCCATAGAGTATGAAAACTTTATCTTCAACATGAGAAGGATCGTTCGTAGGAGGTTGAAGTATGCAGTAAGTTCAATATGTTGCTAGGCCTTGAAAAGTGCAGTGAGACTGTATTGACGAAGAGTCATAATCTAGCAAGTGCGTTCATAATGGTGGTACAATGCATAGTTTGTTCAGCAAGACAGAGTAGTCCAAGTTCTCCAAAACCTTCGAAGGGAAGGGCATGAAGAGAAAAGTTACTTCAATGTGTCACGGACGATCGTCACGTACCCGTAACACCTTCGTCAACGGACCATTCGTCGCTTTTTGTTTACTTATTTATATGTTTGACAACATGTTTTGTCTTGTTTTTGTGTGTTTTTGCTTGAAAACTGTGAGCATGAATAGTTTGCTTCAATGTGTCACAGACGATCGTCATGTACCTGCAACACCTTCGTCAAAGGACCATTCGTCGCTTTTTGTTTGCTTATACATATGTTTGGCAACATGTTTTGCTTTGTTTTTGTGTTTTTGCTTGAAAACTATGAGCACGAATAATATGTAAGGCTATAGAGCGATCGCTCACAAGAATGAGCAAAACTACCTCGGAATGACCTAGTTTTCGTGTGTCATGACCTATTTGAAATCATTGATTCCGAAAAATATTCGTTTCGATTTAATCCGTTTCAGAAAGATATTGAACTTGAAAGCTTTCGTAAGAGTGCAAAGAGAAGGTTTAGGAAGTTTGCAGTAATGTAAATTGCATAAATAGAAAAGCAAACCAGAATTTAGAGTGATTCGGTAGTTGTAACCTACGTCCACTTTCGATTCCTCCTCCGTCGAGGTCATCGACGTCCACTAATGGCCTTCATTCAATAGGCGAAGATCAACTACCTTTTTTATAACTCTTTTTCCTTTTACCGGGTTTAGGAGATAACCCTTATAAGCCTCACTCCTTTTTCTTGGATGTTTACAAAGCTAAGAGAGAGAGGGGAGGACTCTTTCTCACTTTTATAACACTTAACACCCTAGAGATTCAATAATATGTTAAACACTTGCCCTTTTATGTAGAAAATGGTGGGGTATTTATAGGCCCCAATGACTTCAAAATTGGAGTAAAAAAGTGTCACATCCCCGAATTTCAAGGTACTGGCGGTACCATCGCCTAACACTTGACACTTGGGGGTACCTCCGCTCAGTCTGGCCGGTATGACCGCTTGACAGAGCTTGGAGACCGAGCTCCGATGGTACCACCGCCTGACAGCATTAACTATCGGCAATACCACCGCCCATACCACCTGGGAGATTGGGTCACCAGGTGGGGCCACCATCGGTCGTGGTTTCAAATGTTGAATCGGTTGTCCAATCCGGCCCAATTCAGCTCTGTTAAGGGCCCAATTGATTCCTAATCGAGTTAGTGGGATCACCTCCCAATCCTAACTCAATTAATATTCTAACTATGATTAAGGCAAGCAATTAGTCCGTTATGTCGATTTTTCTCTCGGCGATCCTCCAACGAACTTCTCGGCGAGTCTTCCGACATGCTTCCGGCGAACTCCCGATGAACTCTTGGCGATCTTCCGACGAACTCTCGACGATCTTCCGACGAACTCTCGGTGATCTTCAGATGAGCTCTCCGGTAAATCAATTGGTACATCATCCGAATCTTCGACTCTGGCCCATCATCAGCTTTATGCCTTACTGCTATCGTAGTTAATCCTGCACACTTATCTCAACACATAGATTAGATCAAACAATTTACCAATTGATTTCATC